GCGAAGGCATCGCGAGCGGCGTAGCGGGAACGGCACCGAGCAGCCGCCCCGGCGCTCGCCCTGCTTCTCGGGCAGGTTCCCCAAGACCAGACGAGCTTAAACACCACCCCGGCAAGGCCAAGGCACGCCGGGATCCCGGCTGCTCCGCTCCGGGCAGGTCTTGAGGGCGACTTTAAAAGCAGTCTGGCTTGGGGCCCGATCCTGCGCTTTCCGGGCACCCACAACTCCCTCGGGCTTGACTGTTTTCCTTGCTCGAGAGAGACGGCTGGGCCCGGGGGAGGACGAGCTCGTTCTCCCCCTTTGCAACACCACAAACTACCCGAGCTGTAATTCAGGCACACAGGGGTCAAGCCAAGATCCCGGAGTCCTCTCCGGGCTGTTTGCAAACGCTCGGGATTTTTATACCGAAGGCAAATGCCATTTCCCATCCTGCGGTTTGCAACTTTTGAGGCAAGCTGCTTTTTTCAAGATGGGAAACTGCGTTCAAAGAGCAGAAGCGCCCTTTGCATCCAACTGATGTCGGGCGTGCCAAAAAAGGACGTTAAGTTCTCAGGCTAAAAATGCACGGGGAAATCTGGGCCTCGCAGCCTCGCTAGGATCTTTGCCGCTCGCTTCAGCGCGGTGCCAGTTTTCCCCCAAAGGACCCGTACGGCCAAGCTATGTTGCCCCAACCCCCCGTACGCTTGGCACAGGCTGAATCTGGAAGTGGGCACGGCGAACCCTGGGCGCCAACGTTAACACGGCGGAGCAGGGCATGCGTGCCGGGGAAGGCAAACGCCAGCAGGCGTGTTAAAGCATAAGGGATTGCCCGGACCAACGTGAACGCAGCCCGAAAACGAGCTCCGTCACGCTCTGCCCTCCCGGCGCCTCGGCTGGGAAGCGGGGCGGTTATCGTACAGAAGAAACACCAAGTGCCGCAGATAGCTGTATAAGCCGGAGTACGGTGCTATTACTCACGGAGCAGGTACCGGTGTGTCAGATATGACCCCTCCAGCGAGCGCAAACACTGTACGCAGGGTGTACGGCCGTAAACTCATCTTCAGCGCAAACTTCCCAAGTAACAAAAGTTTCCTGTCCAGCCATCAGGAAAATTTCCTCCCTCTGCGATGCCCGCGCTGTTTCCCGGGGCGTCGGGTAAGGGACACCCCCGCCCGGCGCTGCGTTGGCGCTGAAGCGGCGCTGCG